ATATCTTAAAAATCAAAAGATACTAAACACAAAAATCATCATCTTTGTATCCATCAGGAGACAGAAAAGGACACCTGAGTTGCAGACAAGACTTCAACACCTTAAAGCACTTTAAGTGTTGACAGGACACATTTATTCTGTATTTAACCAAAATGTTAAGATTCTTCAAAAGACTTTAATAGTCCTCTGTCTGTAAGGATCTGCAGGAAATATATATAAATCCTTAAAGGGCCAAACTAAAGCTCACCACATGAGCAGGGACCCCTCTGAAGGCATCCATTTGTTTATAGTGTTCAACAAATCAGATGGCTAAAGACTCAAATCCATCCCTGAGAACACTGAAATGCCAAAGAGATCTGATTTATGCAGTTTAAAACTCAAAAAAATTGTGTGGTTTAGTGTGTACACCAGAGCTGGTGAGGCAGGAACCTTAGAAATAATTACATCTATTACATGTTGGCTTTGGCTAATAAGGACTTGTGCCCAAAATGGTGTCCTCTCCACCAGGCTGACTAGGTGGAGCAATTTGAGGCTCAGAGCCTCATCCACATCTCCGTTTCTCCACCTCAAACCAAGTATGTGTGATCAGTCCAATTGCTTTATAACGACCATACCAGAGCTAAGTAGACTGTAACCTTGAGAGGCTTTGCACATTCAATGTCATAACAGAACACCAACATGAGAAGCCACTGAGGTTTTCCCACTTTGTCTTAAAGTTAGCAATACCATAAGGGCTGTGAAGAGACAGCACTTGCAGGAGGAGCTGAACTTGTTTGACTATGAAAGTCGGAACAAATAGTCTGCAACTTTTAGAAATAAACCCTGCTGAAACCCTGGAAGTACATTTATCTTAATTTGCTTTACTTCAAGGAGCAGTTGTGCATTCCACCTTTCCTTTTCATTAAAAGATTGCCTTCTTGCTCTCAAAGGAAAACAAGATTCATGAGCAAGGCTTTAGATATCCCATGACCAGAAATCCAGAGCTATTTGGCTTCTGAATGACCATCCATGCAGCTTGATGCCCAGCTTAACACAACAGGACAGGCTTGGAGGTGTGTTGCAAACATCCCAAAGACCCTTGATATCTGCTCTCCGCTACACAGAACGGCTCCAAAACTGTTGCCCTATGCACTTAACCAAACCTGTCACTTACCAGTGGCCCAGCCTCAAACTACCCAGCATCACTACATTATTCTGCAGAGAATGACACACTTTCCTATAACTTCGGCTTCCATTAGGTGCATTGAATTTTGTAGATGTAAACAGCTAGAGACACACGCTTTGAAGACAGACAGTGCTGGGGTCAGCATCACAAGAAGATTTGTAACTTCCACCAGTAAGTGAGAAATGGACAATTCCCCATCCAGACACATCCTCCACTACACGGTACACCACTATAAGGGGCTCTCAGTCTTTTACCAATTGGTCCCGAGACTTCTCATTGCTCCATTGCATTAACATTAAGCCATGAGCCATAAATTCACCAGGAAAAGAAATACCCATTTTTCCATTGCCAAGGGTAGGTAGCCTAGCAGCTGGGGCTGTTCACATTGTGTTTTGAGGTATGCAATGGAAAGGTGAAGAGCAATGATCTGCTACACCCTGGTACTACACCCTCTGAGCATTACCTCCAAGTTAAACTTAGTTATTTGGACACTGCTCTATCCGCATGCCCACTGGGAAAAATATTTTCCCCTGAAGCAAATGGCATTGGCTATTGCTTATGATGCAATATCAACACGAAGTACTGGCCTTACCGCTGTCCCAAAACAAGGGGTTGCAACAGGAGCCAGTATTCAGCTTTATAAATGTATTCCCCTTTATAATATACAAGCCTGTATTTACTAGTTATGAAAAATCAGGGAGCTAAACCCACTAAATTCAGCTGGCCTTTTTCTGAAGAGATACACTTCAGCTTTGCTCTACTGATAAATGAGGGTGGTCCTCAGAGGTACCACGCTTCTGCAAACCTATGTTTACCCATACATAAAACAAGAATAGCACTGACAGGCAATTAAATAGCATCTTCATAACAGGACCTCCTAAAACTCCTCACAAATGCTTATTAATGTTTTACATGAGCAAAGCTCTTCAAGCTGGACTCCATTATAATGAATGCCAGCACATACCCAATTTAAAGGATGCGTCTCAAGATGTCAAAGGCTACTAATTACATCACGCATAGGGAGCGGTTTCCCTCCTGATGGACAAGCACAAGGCACGCATACAGGCAACATCTACACAGGCACCATCTACACAGGCACAGCCAAGGTCTAGGTTCAATCCAGGAGCTGTTGAGAAGGTCAGAGTAAGATAATGGCATCACTAGAAAAGCACTCCCCCCTTTGCTGTCACTGGGATGCCATAATCTAGTCCAACCTGGTAATTTCTTTTTTCACACCAAAGGAACCCAACTGGATGTCACTAATGCAATTGCTAATCAAGTCTGACCGAATTAGACAGGGTGTCTGTAGGATCACAGTTGCCCAAACAAAGCACTGACCCCATAGCCAGCTTCCAATTCCTTGGGAAAGTCACAATTCCTCACAATTTTAGCTATGCCAACTTCCAAGCAAGTTTCAGTTCACCACAGGATGAGTCCTGACACAGTCCTGAGAGTTTTACACCCCACTAAAAGGCAGTATCGACTTCCCTGCACACACCTTCCACTGACCTTGTTTCCCGCCATAACACAACAAAACACAAAGCCTAATAAAATCAGGGAATGACTCTTATGAAGTTTGAAGAGCACTAGATCAGCCATACAGTGAGTAGCCGAGTGCCAAGCTCTGGGTACATCTCCCCCAGCCTCGCTTTGCAAAGCTGGACCCCTCAATGCCCCCAGCTACCTGCCTGCATTTAAATAAACAAAAAGGAAAATAGAGTAAGGACAACAATTGCCCACTCTCCCCCACTGCTTCCTGATGGTCAATCTGCCAAAAAAATCTGAGAGGGATGGATGTCTTTACATTAGTAATGAGGTCAATGGAATAAAAGGCAGCTTTTACTTCTCCCATAAAGATTTAAAATGTAAAGAAGCCGCAGGGTGTGAGGTGCATTTCATGGTATTTGGGGATAACAATATATTAATAAACCCAAGTGAGTAAAATAATTATAGCCAATGAAAAAGTTGCATATGAACAAATTCTCTCCTCTATCTAATTAGGATTTGATGCACAGTGGCTCAGGTTTTCCATGCAGTGTAAAAGACCATATAAAAACACGCATTTCCAAGCTTTCAATCCAGTCCTGACTCTCTGCTGTGAGCTCGGTAAGTTATTTGCCTATTTCTATTTCTAACTAACAAAATATCATTTTGTTGCTACTTTGAACTTGAATCTAGACCCTGCAGAAATACTCTGACACTGCATATTAAGAGGGTTGTTTCTTTTAAATAATCTTTCTTGGTTTGGGGTTGCTTTTTTTTTTTCTTTTACAGGCATAGACAGAAATGAGCCTTTTAAAGTTGAGGCTGAGATTCACAGAACCTCACCCAATTTATGATGTTTCAACTTTGATCTGACCATTTAGGTACCCATATCTTTCATTTGCTTTGAAAAAAATTAATTTTAGATTTCTCCTATATTAGAGGCCACTTATTTTAGTGGTTCAAGTAACTATTTCTGTTGGCAGCTGACCTTTAGCATCCTAATCAAACTGATGGAGACTGCTTCTATTGTAGCACAAAGGCTAATTTTTATCTGGATTAGCTGAAAGTTTGGCTTCTGTCTATTCAAGACACCTTTTATACACTTTCAATGGAGATTCTTCTTTTCAAGAGCTAATATTACTTATCCACTTTCAAAATCTAGAAAGAAAACTCTGATCTGGCATTTCTCCTGGTTCTGAAGTTAACTGTCAGTTGACATCTTTGTAAGCAAAGCTTGATCTGCAGTAGCTGGGACCTGACCCTTGAGAGTTTGTTCTCAGAGTAGTCCTGTATATCTGCAAAAGCAACTGCCACCAAATTGCAAACGGCAGACGCCCAAGTGCCATTTGCTCATGCTAAGCAAAGCTGATTTGCAGTCAGATGTTAAATTTTAATTAGGAAATCCAAGGTCTCAGCACTCCTCCATGCTAAATCACATCTGTGGAATGGACACCTCGTCTTCCAAGCATGGCAGGGACAGCTCTGACATCCCACAGCTAGGCAATGACTCTTCCCAGAAGCTGGCACAGACCCTGCGCCCTCCTGCCTTCAAGGCAGGCCATCTCCATGCCAGGAGGAGTTCAGCCCTGGCAGAACAGGGTGTTCCACAGGCTAACGCGGGCAGCTGAGGTACAGATGTGAGCAGACACCTCTGGTGACTCCTGCAGCCCTTTGGTCCCCAGCTTCTACTGGAGCAAACTCAGGACATGAAGAGCAAGAGGCAGCATAGTACAGAGTAGCCAGTAAAGCAACGACACAGCAGCATCCTGAGATGCAGAGAGTTCCATTTGACTTTTTCTACTCACAGGGAACACTGTCAGCTTCAGCCAGACTTTCAAAAGTCAGTCCTTAATGAACATTAGGCTTTTAAAAATAGAGCTCTGCCACATCACCCTGCCAATTACAAAGATAACAATCCTGTTCTGCAATTTAAATTAGCATAAAGAAGGGCAGTATTTTCTTTTGCTTTACGTAGTGCCAGCAGAAAGCAATTCAGTTTCAACTGAAGCGTCTAAAAAGCAAATAAAATGATAGCCCTTGCCACAGAAAGATGAGAACCTCAGCACTAATCCCAGATACGCCATTGCCTCACTAGCTGAAGCATGCTATGCCTGAAACTCCCCTTCTCCTAGGGATAATAGCTACCTGCCCCACACGACATCAGAAGCTATGAAAGGGATTGTTAGTTAAATGCAGTGCTGTGCAGTTTCTGCTACAGAGACGGGACTGAGAGTCAGAGCAGCAAGCTCGAACAGCAGAAAGGCAGCCTGTCAGATACAGCGATCCGCAGGGGATTAATCACCTTCCTTCCCTGCGTTGTGTTCTCTAGGTTCATCTCCATCCCAGACCAATGGCCTATTATGGGTATCAGTACAAGCAGCAGTGTTATGTTCCAGGTGGAGTGAAGTATGCCACACCAGTCTTCACGCAGTGCCACAACCCCAGTGCGGTGAAGTGCGTGCCGTGTACGCCATGTGCTTCCAGAGGCGCCAAGCTGTGCGCTGTGAGGAAGACCATGCAGAGCAGCCCCAAGTGCTCCACACCATGTTCATCACAGTGTGTTGAGACACACGTTGTGCAAGGCCACTCTTCCTGTCACCCCAGGTCTCCTGACCCATGCACCGTGGTGGTCCCTCAGCCCCACGTGCAGGTCAGGGAACACCTCTGCGTGCCACATTGTGGACAGCCAGGCATTACAGGATGTCCTGAGATATGTGCTCCAGCTCACATGTACCAACACAGTTCGTATCCTTGTTCATACCAGTGGTCCAACAGCTACCACTACAACTGCGGGCAGCGATAATCTCCATGGAGGTGCCCACACAACAACCAGGCAATGAAGAGCAAGATGCACACCCATAGCTGAGCTCACAGGCAGAGCTTTCAGAAGCATAACCCTTCCGCTGCAATCACCTGGGCTTCTGGACAACCTGACACCTTTACAAACCAGCCCTGATTTAATACTCTCCATGTTATACACTATATTAGATTTAGAGGTCTCTGTTCCATATCTACAGTCTCCTATCATCTACAGTGGGCTCAGATCTCAGCTGCATGAAGACAGTTTTTCCATGACTACCGATGTAAAGGATATGTGAGTTTTACCATGAGCATAATCACTCACATGGATGACGTTGCATTGTCAGAGTGACCTCAGCTAGCCTAGAGTCTCCAAAAACAAGGTCCTTCCATGCTAACGTTGTGAAGAACACACATTTCTTTCTGCTTTCAACTTTGTTCCAGAGGTGGTTTTGTAAAGAAAACAGTTTTTAATTCTGTGCTCTGTTCTATACGCAACCAACAGAAATAAGACTAGTAAATGTAAAACAGTGGAAAACGGGACTTGATTTTCAAGTCAAGGGGGTCTGCTGTGTGAAGAAACTCACTCTGGGAGCACTTACTACTGAAACACACATCTCTGATGTACCAGCTGAAAGCCAGAGAGTACTTTCTCTATAGTCTGCATTACTTTATTCTCTATGGTATATAACCATCATCTCACATAATAAAGCCTCTACTGCATCAAACTACCCACTTTCCTTTTGTTTTTTTCTTCCATCCCTATTCACACTTGATTCAGAGATGAAAATTCCCAGTTCTGCAGCAGCCATGGAAAGACAAGCAATGCTTCCACCTGTGCTGGTAACAAACACCCAGTTCCCCACAGTGGATCTGAAAACAACTTCCATAAAAGCTGAGGCAGCTGTAAGATGACTAACAGTGATTCAGTAAGCTGCCAGCTAACACTGGCATTGCCAGGGCAATGCTCTAACCCCTAGACCACAGTGCTGTATGTGGTAGGACATTAAACTGTTCACAAATTGAGGTGTTATGACCCCATCCACAAATAAATCCCAATTAAGTTTACCCTAAATCATTCCTTGTGCATTTGTAAACTGTACCCCAGCAATCCCTTGTGCTCCATCGTGTGGCCAGTGGATTCAGGGAGCATGAAGGAGCTCAGAGCAAGGCAAGCCCCAGACAGTCACACTTCCTCACAGCACAGCAGCCAAGGGCTCAGGACAAAAATCCCAAGCTATCAAGGACCCACAGTGCCACAAACATGCATCAGTATCAGAACAAGGCATAGCAGAAATAGTTAGGGGAAAAAAAATAATCACTGCAAATCTATCAGCCTTGATGCGCATTGAAATTGATATTCCCAAATATGTCACTTGTGAGGTTAGACAGGTTACAGGACTCCAATTACAGTTTGATTTGCCCAGCAAGGAGGCATGCTTTAAAAGAACAAAAGGTTTGAAGCCAAAAATAAAGGAAGTAAACTGTCTTGGAGCCAAAAAAAAAAAAAAAAAAATCAGAGAGAGCAGCTCTGAAGTGGCACAACATCCCTGGAGTCAGCAGAGGTGAGGATGACTTACACCTGCTCCAGATCTGCCTACTAGGAGAGAAGTAATAAAGTTGTGCTCTCCACCAAGTCGCCAAAGGGCACGCCTCTAATGTGGTGGCGTTCAAAGGAGAGTGAAGCTGTTTGGCAATACCCAGCAAGGGGAATGCTCTCCCATTCCCTCTCCTGGCTGCTACACTACAGCCTGTGAATGCAGCACATCAGCAAACTGAGGTTAGAGCAGCAAAGGAGCCCTTCTGCATCTCCCTTCGTGGTTTTTCACCCATACCCTTGTGCTAAACCCAGGCTTTAAGTCCTAGGTAGTCAGAGGCTTCAGTACTGTTTAAGAGCTCATTGCCTTGGTTCATCACACTCTCTACATCACCCACCTGCAAACACTTCCCATCTGCCCAACTCTGCTGAGCTCCACCACTTCTGGACAACAGTATTGCAACAAAAATGCATGAGGTTTGTATTTAAATGCGTCTGTGCAACACAGCTGCCTGCTCTTTTGAGAAGCTCAGCAGCAACTGCCACATTTTTACTATGCCTAATTAAAAACAAAGATTGAGAAATTAGGAAGGCATTTAAAGTGTCTCTACCATTCAGAAATCTCTATCACATTTTCAGAACCATCTAAAGAGGCAGACATACAGCAGTGGGGTTAAATTCAAGATGTCATGCAGTCAAGTTAGCCCAGCCCAGGCAGACAGTAAAGAGGAGATCACAGCTACACTGCAGGCACCACAGCTCACCGGTCCAGCAGCAAGGCCAACCTCCCCCAAAGAGCTCAGCCTGGTCTGCACCAGCCACCCAGCCCTGTGATGCTTGTAGGCTACAAGTAGACAGCAGTTCACTCGCCTCGCACAAAATTTGCCATTGATAATGGTACAGTAGGTCCTCTATAACTAAAGATTTTAGAAGCAGAATAATATTTTATAACGAGAGTGCTTTCACCAGTAGCTGATAACCAGTGGTCTTAACTCAGCAGAATCACAAAGATTAATTAAAATGAAATAAACATATTGTGACAGTAACTAAGACCAAGATCTTTCTTGTTTCAGGTGGGAGAGCTTAGGAACACATTAGAAACCTTTGTTCCATCCCAGATTTAAGTCTTACTTGGTGTATTTGTCCCCAGCCAGTGTCCCACAGGAGGAGGGAGACACCTGGTGACTCTGGGGCCTCTCAGAGGACACACCAAGTTCTCAGCAAGAGTCAGCAGGACCTCAAGCATTTACAGTCTGAAGCTGAATTCACAGGCTGAATATGTTCTCTCCTGATCACCTTCAGCTTACCACATACCTACAGTTCAACCTAGCAGGAAGAGCAAGAGAAAGGTTGCAGAGAAGTGTGAGAAGTGTGAGTTAGTGAACAGTGCCATCATCTCTACCAGGTAAGAGCTGAAGCCATCAGGAGCCTTTCATAGCTGGAGATTTGCTCTCTGGTTCCTTATTTCTGGTGTCATTCAAAAGCACAGTAGTCAGTAGTTTGACCGCCCCATACCATAAAAACATCCTGCCCCCAACAGCAGCAGTAAAGCATCCAAAACTACTTATAGCACCCAATAGCCAAGAGTTCACAGGGGAGCAGACCCATATGCTCCTCTTTCTGATGCAATGGAAAGCACTTTCCACGCATGACCAAAACCATCCATTGCATCAGAAGGGATCAGAGCAGACATCCACAGGAAGGCAGTTTGCTGCACATCCCCGAGTCACATTCCCTGACCCCAGGTCAGCACCAGCTCTGCAGCCACAGCTCACCTGCTCTCATCATTGCCAGAACCTGCTGCTCAAAGCCTTTCAATTAGTGCTGCTTCACATGTGGCATTCAGAGTTTATTACTACTTTTCAAACTTTTCTAATGTATTATACTTGGTGACAACTTTGTGTTAGGTAGCCTTACAAAGCACAGTAGTTGCCTTTATTTCAGTGCGTGATCAGGCTGTTCAGTATTTTAAAAGCCCAGCTTGCTGCAGACAGTAATTCACACTGCAGCATCTCCCTGACATGCTCACAGCTGTCATCTGGTGGATACTGATCTGTATTTCAGCCACTTGCACTAGAAAAAAGGCTAATGATTCCAGCCCAGAGAGCATCCCAGTTACCCAAACCCACCTGCAACCTCAGCCTGGCTAATGCAGCTTACCTATGCCCCCCTCTGGGCACTACCAGCTTGCACACTTCCTGGGTTTTACAGTATCTCCAACAGCAACTAAGCTATCAGCTGCTCCCTAGCAATTAGCCAAGCTGCATTTACTTCTGAAGCACATACAGCACAAACTGACCCAGTTCAAGGATGTGCTTCAGTATTGTCAGCCCCACACTGAGCGGCTTCCCAGACACCAATGGTGCAAAGCTGCTCAGCACCCAAACCCTTGGGTGATGGAAGAGAGCAAACAAAAGGTTAAGATGTTGCTCTCTGAAATGTTAGGGAGGTGCTTTGATGCCACAGAGGGATCGAGAAGCAGATAGAAACCTCTCAGACTTTCTCCCTGAAGTCTATAGCCCAGGTATCAGGCAGGATCCTGACTTTAACCCCAAGAAAGCTGGGGGGGACTTTTTACAAGGGCAGGGAGTGACAGGACAAGGTGTAACAGGTTTAAACTGAAAAAGGGATATTGAACATCAGGAAGGAATTCTTCCCAGAGAGGATAGGGACGACTGGGACAGGTTGCCCAGAGAAGCTGTGGATGCCTCATCCCTGGAAGTGTCCAAGGCCAGGCTGGATGAGGCTTGGAGCATCCTGGGCTATGGAAGGTGTCCCTGCCCATGGCAGGGGGGGTTAGAACTCCGTGATCTTTAAGGACCCTTCTAACCTAAACCATTCTGTGATTCTAAACCATTTTTCACCCCAGCTCTTGACATAGGATTGAAGTACCTGTGGTGGTCTCACAGCAGGGCTGCAGAGGAGAGCTGGCTCAAACTTGCAGGCTTTTCTTCATTCAGAAGTGTTTTGCTTAGAGAAGTTTCCCCCTTTCTAAGAAAGGGAACCCTGGGTGGGTTTCAAGAAGGAAGCACCTTACAGATAAACTGATACAAATATAAAGTTCTTTCTGGAAAAGGAGTCAAATTAGAGTTTTCTTCATCATTCAGCCAGTGCAATTGTCAGCACACTGTCAATCTATTGCAGAGAGGAACACAGAAGCAGAACAAAAAGCTGCTTACTGCACTCAGAGCAAGCTTTCTTGTTTCTAAGCTTCATGTTCATAATTCAAATTTAATTAAAACACCTTATTAATAACTAATCCCTTCACAAATACCTCTCTCAGAAGACCTCTTACATCAGAGAAAAGCAGAGGCTGAAGGGAGACATATCTAGTGAGATCCTGGGTCATTGGCTAACAAGCACGGGGAAGCTGAGGGCAATCTGGCTTCAAGCAGGCATAAAAGGGGCATGGGTGGGGGCAGCAGCTGTTTTTTGCATGTTAGTATGTGGGTGAGGAGTGTTAGAAT